CCGCAACAGTTCTCGATGAGCCGCAACCTCAGCATCAAATAGGTTCTCACTCCCTTCCAACAAAGAAAGTTCAGCTTGATCAGAAACAGACCCAACAAGATCACCTTGGGACTGACCAGACCGAAACGGGTCAGAAGTGGAAACTCTTTACTCGCTGGAAAGAGCGAGTAGTAACAACAGGAGCTTGGATAAAATCCTCGATGGAAACATCTGGGGATAAAGCAGTAGCGTAATACCACCTGACGTACTTGAGCCAGGCTTCAGTCCAAGATCTTAGAAGTGTCATATCCTCTAAGTACTCAAAAGTCTCAGACTTATAAGTACTCGTCGGAGGCACCACAAGATCCTTAGGTCTGAAAGCTTGTTGAAGCTTCCAGATCAATCGACCTTTTAAATAAGGGTCGACAGGACAGCACTGGCCAAGCCACAACTCGAAAGGTAGCTTAGCCTTTAACCAAATCGCCTTCAGCCGTAAGACTGTAGACGACTTAGTGTGGTTAAGTTTACCAAGAAGCCTATAACCAATACCATACAATCGACATAGAGTGGAAAACCTCTGTATCTTATAGAGATGACAAAGGGAATACACTCCATGTATTGTATGGGAATTAGCCTGGTTTCGAATAGAAACAGGGGATAAATCCACTGTTAAATTCTTACACCTAAACTTCTTAGCAAACTCAGCGCCACCCACATCTGAGACTAAAGACTTAGGAAGTGATATAGTCACACCTAAATCCTTAAGTTAAGTGTAGATAGGTAGACTTCTGCGACCTTTGAGTCGGCGATACAAATATCGTCGCCAAGGATAGCATACTTATCAAAGCGCTTCCCCGGATATATCTTCTCCGCACACCCCCAAATGGTGGGACAGTGTAAAGAGCGGCCAAGAAGCGAGATATCCAAGAGGTTGCCCTGATCCTTGGGCTGATAGTCAAGTAATTTGCTCTTGAATGACAGGTCTACTCTCGGATACAAAGGTTCTATGTTCAAGCAATTGGGCCCACTTTCATTGGATCCTTCCGAAGTAGGCGAAGGTCGAGTTGCTGACCTGAACGCTTTGGCTCTTTTTGGTAAGTCTTCTCGGAGTAAGAACCTTTCTTTTTGAGCCGGCGCGGAGACCTATGGTCTCCATTCCGCCTTATCTTTGCTCTCTGTCGGTGTGAAGTTGCTAGCATAATCTGGTAAGCAGCGGGCTTTCTATCCTCAGAGGTTCCGGTCACGCTAGTCTAGAACATCTTCCGACCGTTGGCTGCTTGCTCTCTGGACTCCTGGAGCGACTTCCTTTGAGTTGCATCGAAGAGAGTCTCTTATAAGCAAGTTCCTGTCAAAGGGAATCATTATTCGTAAGTTCCCGTGTGTAAAAGTTGCCTATTCAAAAGGGCGATCAAAAAACCTCTTGCTCTATCTTGCGTCCCTCCATCCCTGATCTCTAGGAACAGGGCTGACAGCAACACCATTAATCGAACGAGTCGGGATGAGAATCTCACATGGTGCCGTTCTAACTCGTTACGCACGCAATTGACGTAGCAGACCTCTTGCATGATTGTTTCAATCAATGATGTATTCAATCAAGAAAGAAACGTCGTAATAAGATCAGGTTACATAATGGGTCTGTGAGGGAACATCAATAAAGAGGATCAGACCAAGTGCGAGATTGGATCAAAAATTGCGTATGAAAGGATTATGGTCTATCTAGTACAGTACGATCGATCAAGTCATTCAATTCTCTTAGCTAGGTCTTTAGATATAAAAGAGCGGGTAGTAAATATTGCTCCCGAGAAAAGCTTTCCTGTTTCCTTTGTGCATCCTTCTTTTCCCATGTCTTTCTTGGTTGGTAAAACCAACTGGCGATTTACAACAAATCAGTCTTTCTTTCGCAAGAAAAAAAGCGGAAGTAAATTGAGAACAACTTATATGTTTAACAACCGCTTTGATGAGAATAGTCTGAACTCAAGTTCCAGTTATCATACAGCTTATAGTCGAACTCCTAGTCAATCCACAACGACTATTACCGATTATAGTCTTCAATCGTCCGGTACTCAGGGTTCTTCTCCTTCTTCTGGAATTTTTGAGGATCATCCGGGTCTTAACCCGTCCAGTGAACGTATAGTAGAGCTTCAGTCTGAGATACACCAGAAATTGGCAGAGTTGATGACTAATAAGAGTGCCCAAGATGTTCAGGTTGCGGCCGAAGCTACACATGCCGAAAGCGACAATATTGAATTTTTAGAGCACATATTAGATGATTTGACCAAAAACGGAGTACAAAGTGAAACCTTTAAGGAAGTCATTGTTAATGTTCCCAGCCCTCTTGATCAATTTGAGATAATCCCATTGATTGATATGCAGATAGGTGACTTGTATTTCTCATTCACAAATCCCTCATTGTTTATGCTGCTCACTCTCAGTTTGGTCTTACTGCTGGTTCATTTTGTTACTAAAAAGGGAGGAGGAAAGTCAGTACCCAATGCTTGGCAATCCTCGGTAGAGCTTATTTATGATTTCGTGCCGAACCTGGTAAACGAACAAATAGGTGGTCTTTCCGGAAATGTGAAACAAAGGTTTTTCCCTTGCATCTCGGTCACTTTTACTTTTTCGTTATTTTGTAATCCCCAGGGTATGATACCTTATAGCTTCACAGTTACAAGTCATTTTCTCATTACTTTGGGTCTCTCATTTTCTATTTTTATTGGCATTACTATAGTGGGATTTCAAAGAAATGGGCTTCATTTTTTAAGCTTCTCATTACCCGCAGGAGTCCCACTGCCGTTAGCACCTTTTTTAGTACTCCTTGAGCTAATCCCTCATTGTTTTCGCGCATTAAGCTCAGGAATACGTTTATTTGCTAATATGATGGCCGGTCATAGTTCAGTAAAGATTTTAAGTGGGTCCGCTTGGACTATGCTATGTATGAATGATCTTTTCTATTTCATAGGAGATCTTGGTCCTTTATTTATAGTTCTTGCATTAACCGGTCCGGAATTAGGTGTAGCTATATCACAAGCTCATGTTTCTACGATCTCAATCTGTATTTACTTGAATGATGCTACAAATCTCCATCAAACAGGATAGTTATTTATAATTGAACAAAAGCTAAGTTTCTCGAGCTACCGAGTTTACGAGATGAAGGAGCGATAACCTCAACCGAGAGTAGCTTGATTGACCAGAGAGAGTTTCCTGCGACGATAGGGTAAGAGCCGATTCTTTCTTGCGGGGAACGCTTTCGTAACCAATTTACATTTCCTTGGCTTCAGGCTAGTCAACTCATCTTATGCGTTCTTTTTAAGAAATCCAGTTAAAGTACTAAAAAGTCAAAGAAAGAGAAGGATCTAGTGACGTAAACCACATGATGCCAGTGGCGATGAACACATCCAGCCGAAGCCAATAGCAATCAGCACTCCGGTCATGGTCTGAGAGGAAGAAATGGGAAAAATGGTTCCGGAGAGGGAAGGTACCACTTAAGAAGTCCCCAATCGTTATTTTTTTTTCATGGGCCTTCGTTATATGAAATTACACTGCCAGTAGTCAGCTTTCAAGTGACCTGTAGGGCTCCTGCCACAAGGATGGGATGGCTCTGGCTAAGCTTGCTCCAGGACAGGAGTGGTTGAAGAGAGGTACAACCTCTGTTCCATTATTTGATTCCCCCTTATCTATCATAGTCAGACTGGAGGCCGAGAGAAAAGGATAGCCAAAAAAGACCCATAGATAGGGGGTTATTATCAGAAAGATAAAAAGGAATACGAATTCTATCCGTAAATAGGAAACGAATCTAGCACTACAACTAGAAGAAAGAAAAACTAGAGTCGCCGGTAGGCGCCCCGTCGGATGTTTTCGTTGGATTGGTTTTTGAGACGAAAAATCGGATGTCCCTTTATCCAGTGCTGTAGAGGAGACAGCTGATGGTGCTAAATCAGAACAATTGGTACCACACATCTAAAAAAAATCCGTCTTAGACTCTAAAAAAAAAAGAAATAAAAGAAAGAAGAATCTTTTTCGTAAAGAAGGTGTATCCCCCAAGGCAAGGAATCCAATTCAGTGACATAAGGGGTATGTATAAAGAATCTGATGAAGCAAAAGCCTAGTTCTCGGTAAAGAAAGCTCTCACCTCAGGGAAGGAAAAACGGGGATCCATTCCTTTTTCTATTATTCTTTATATGGTCTTGGACGGGAAAGAAAAGACATGCTAGAAGAGTTGGAGCCCTTCTTATTCAAGTCAGATTTGTAGCTAAGCTCTTCTATAAGTGAGTTCTCTGGGCTGAGAAGGACAGGTAGGTGCTTACATCTGATGGATTGGGCAGTTCTACACTAATCTGCTTTTCTTATATTTATAAGAACTCGGGAACTAGCTTCGCAACTAACCCCGAGAAGGATAGAATAGCTCGACCGGTCCTATCTCTACACATCAACTCATGGTACTCCCTGGGCCCCCTAACAGGTTAGCGACAGCATTCTCGAGGGCCATAAATCATCGCATCTATCTACGGTAGGTAGGTAAAGTTTATAGGTCGAGCACTTTCATACATATAGTAGTCAATCATGATATAAATTCTTTCAAAGCTCGGGATTTCAGTCAGTGATAGACAGCTTGGCTAGCTATCCTCTCAAACAGGTCATTCAATCTCAGTAGTGGCAGGAAGAACACAGCTCCCAGGCGTACTGATAAGGCTTAACCGGAATAGAATAAGGTTGGATGGGAGTGCGCTTCTTCAATCTAGGAGGTATCCTTATATCTGACTCTTCTTCCACGAGAAAAGAGAGGGGAACTCAGACTTATCTTTTGACTACCGGAGGAGAACCTTACTTATACTGAGTATAAGAGCAGGTCTCCACTGCCTATAGCATAGAGGCGAGATTGCCTCACGTTCCACTAAACGCTGGGGAAGGAAGTGACATAGTTTTTTTACGAGTAGTAGGGGTATGCTTTATCTATATTATTTTATTGGCTTAAGCATCCTATTTATTTTTTTTATTTTTATCCCATTAGAATCATATTTTCAACATTAGCACAAGAGCAGATAGGATGGAGACGAGTCTCAACAAGCAGGGCAGGAGAGATTACCAGCTCCGATAACAACTTAAACTTTTCCTATTCGTGTAGCCAGGAGGAATGCAAAGATGCCCCGTTCACTTGAATAGGAACTGGAAAGACTTAAGATACGAATTAGAATAAGCAGTACTTTCTATCCTTCGGACCCTTTGGGGGATATAACAGCCCGAGAAGATCATCTGCAATGACATTTGAATAATCCAAGGGCAACTACTGGCTCTAAGCCTATCTGCTGTTGAATAACCAACCGGTGCCAGTCTTTTCTGTTACAGTAAGAGCTGTTGAGTAAATAGAAGCTCTGGTCCTATCCGCTGCTGGTGGTGAAGTCAGTGAATCAGTCCCAAAGCTTTCTTCCTTCAAAGAAGAAGTTTTGTCATTACGAACTAAGACCGAAGGCAGGTGCAGTTCATAGAGCAATGTGCGGGTTGGGCTTTTTCAAGGATTGCAAGCTTCTCGCATAGCTAGAATATGAGAATAGGGCGGCCTTTGTTGCCACGCCAGCATATGCTAGGCAGGATTAGATTGAGCAGTATAAAGGTGACTTTCTTGGCACCGGGGATTGCCATTTACATTTCACTCCTTTTGGTAAGGCAAGGCAACCCTTTATTAGATTAGGACCGCTTCTCCGATGAGATGATAGATGCCTTTGGCCGATTCCCTTGTCATCTCGCCCTCCCCGCTCAAACTCAAAGTCTGTCTTAAAATAGAGGGAGAGGGAGCTCAAGAGCTCTTCCCTTTGGGACACGTGAACTCCACTCTTGGCAACTGCCCTCTGCTGTAGCAAAAGTACCTTATAAGAAAGAGGGTCGGGCCAAGATCGCCATTCCGAATGTTGAAGAATGGGACTATACTTAGTCATTGCCGTCAAAAATCCAGATGGAAGATTTTTCTACCTCAGAAGCGAAAGTTATAAATAAATGTGAAAGCCGAATCTCAGGTTCCTAGATAACAGATAGGCGCACAGTAAATAGGCGCGTTGACTCAGTCTAAGAAGCATGGCGACGGTCGAGCGCTCTCTCCAAGACGAACAACTGGCCTCCCCGAAGGACTGAAGGACAAATGTCGGTTAGAGAGGCATAGGTTTTTATAGTCCAGGTAGGCTATATGAAAGAAGGGGAGAAATTGCTCTTAATTTAATAAGGTAATATCCCTTCACGCTGCTGCCGCGAAAGCAAACCAATTCTACGAGGACCTGCGCCCTATATAAATCAGTACTTCTCTCTCCGACTTCCTGCACCTACCCGGACCCTGCAAAAATGAGACTGAAGTTCGGTACGGGTTGGGGTAAGGCTAAGCCAAGCTACCACCTACCCCTCGCTTGAGGTATCTTGCGATAGGTAGTTGCCCTTCTTGGCCGAGAGCGTACATAAATGATGTGGTCCCCGGATGTTGTTACGAATAGTTATTATTTATATAGGAGATTTATCTTTTGTATTGTGATGAGTAAGTAAACTATAGAGATCGAGGTTCAGATCAAAACAGACTCTTTGACTAAGGCTTGTCGCTTCGACCTAGTAAGCCAGTCCCTCTACCTCTTCCGCATGCTGGTATGTCTTCCCGTCTGCAAGACCCAGCTAAAGCGAATCTCATCTTCATGAAGTTTTATGGGGACTCTATCTTTACTTGTAGTTCGTCACTTGTTGGCAAGGGCAAGGGCTTCGGTGTAAGCACCAGTTCGAACTCTGACTTAGAATCAGACCTTATCTCTCTCTCTCAATAATTGGAAGTTTGATCCAATCAACCACTAATGACCAAAAAATGTTCCAACCACGCATAAGTGTGAAGGATTGAATCCTGTTCTCTCAATAATGGGAAGTTTGATCCAATCAACCACTAATGACCAAAAAATGTTCCAACGACGCATAAGTGTGAAGGATTGGATCCTGTAATAGATTTAATATAGAAGAGTCTTAGAAAGGGGCACTGGTTCCGGCATTTCGGGTTGATTCCTCTTAGCTCTAGAAAGATAGAGAAATGTAAGGGGGTACTTGGCCGAATGGAGCGATAGGTCAAGTATGGGACGTTCGGTAAACAATCCCTTAGCTCAAGTCCTCGGAGATACCCAACTGGGAGCGGAGAAGGCGGAGGCGCTTTGGAAGCGTCAACGCAATAAAAAGATAAGCCAAAAACGGATCAAACTCCGGAACAAGCCAAGCAAACTCCATCCCGGGAAACTACGGCCAAGCATAGGATACGGAGGCCTTTTTATAGTATCTCTTATCGTAGTAAGAGATCTTTGATTTGCAACAAAAGTCTCTCCCCGGAGAGCCCTCTGCTGACCGAACCTACTGTTAGGAAGGCAAGCAACCACAATGGAGTAGGGCTTCTACGTGCGTAGTCTGTTTCCAAGCTCTGATAAGCGAGTCAATCCCCGTAGAGGAATTTCTTTCCTTAGTTGTTTGCTTTCGTCCTAATTAGTGGTTTGAAGATGGATTCGTCTTATATCTAAAAAGCCCTAATGAAGTCCAGTATAGTGTGGTTCCACCTCGCAAGGATAACAGATAGATTGAAGATCAACAGGGGGCTTAATCACTCCGTATAGACACACCTAGACTACGAAGCTAGGGCAGTGGGTAAGGAAGATTCTCACGCAGAAGTAGAAGGAAAGGAATGATTTTATTGATGCTGAGGGTAAGGTGGGAAAGCGGGAAAGTACGGTAGTCTACGCCTGTTCAGGCACTCTTAAGCCAGACAGTGTACTACCCTCTGACCCTCATCTTATATTCCTATTAATTCTATTTTCAGACTTTCGTCGGTAAGTGGAATAGGCTTGTGATCTCTCTAATCACCTCCTATCTTTCCTTACCAACTTGAATCTGTTAGCTCTTCGCATATATGAGCTCTGGCTGTCAAAAGAAAGGCCTTGGCAAGGAAAAAAACCAGAACATCGAGAGGGATGGGAAAAGCCCTTAGTTGTACTTTATGGCAACCCAATCAGGTGATATTCTCCTAGGTTCAATGGGAACAACTGGTGAGAAATGAATGAATTGTCACCCTCCCTATGGTCTATGTGCTTCTTCCTGCATGTGTTTAAGTTCTCTTAATGAATCTATAGACCGGAATGGTTGGATCACTTTGGAGTGTGCCTGATAGATTCACCGATCTGAGTGTGGGGTATCTTCAAATCCTATAGGATTTGGGCTAAATCCTTAGAGCACTCAGAAGATTGGGATCCTAGGCACATGGCCGTAAGGTGCCGAGCTTATCTGTAAATACTTTATCTGAGAGGAGTGTGTGTGTGGCATTTCCGTTTTGTCAACAGAACATGGTTCTTAGAAAAAGGACTTTGTTCACTAAACTAAGTGACTTACTAGATAAAGAAATGCTTACCTTATTATTAGAGAAAGGGGGGGAGGTTCAAGTCCAAAAGAAAAGAGACCTTTGCTGATGCTTCTTACAGGAAGATACATATCATAGCCGAACTGGATGGCTACTATGCTACTGCTGATCGTAGTATAGTAGGCTTACTGAACTAGCTACTTCTGTCTTGTATAGCTATCTGATGCTATGCTTATCACAGACTGATTGTTTCTCTATTCAGAGACTAGCGGAATCCTTCTGTTACCGGATTTCGGGACCAGACAGCTTTCTTACCGGCTCGGCAGATATCAATGCTCCTGATGTCTGGATTGCTTGCTAATGCCCGGAAGAGAGTGATAGCCTGAAGTCTGATAAAAGAGCCTTGAATATAAGAGATAGAGATCGGTCCTTGGCTATAATAGCTAATAGGCTCGGCTCGCTACTGACTGATGACTTACTTTCACTAGGTATGATACTGCGTATAGGGATGAATCAAGAAGGGAAGGAGGGCTGTCTTAGCCTCTGACACCACATCCGTAAGAAGCCCAATATCGAATCTCCTACTCGTAAAAATAAGAGAGTATGACTTCGTACCTCTCCTTTTCAGTCTAGTGACTTCCTTTTGGGATAGTACCCAGGAAAAGGATGTCAAGACCTCACTCTAATATGGAATGTAGGCTAGGTCAATCAACTTCATTCACCCGA